GTCATTGTTGTTTGGTGGGCTAGGCTGGATTCAAACCCACCACCTTGAGTGTATGTGGCTGGTGCCTTAGCCACTTGAGCTACAAGCGCCAAGCTGACCCTCACCCTTTGTGGCCCAGCAAGCCTCTCATAAGCAGTAGATCTTGGGGCCTGGGTTCGAATTTCTCATCCTTCCCTATCTCACTATGACCTTGGGCAAGTTCTTGCTACTTTTTGGGCCTCAGTTACCCCATCAGAACAGAAGGGCAAAGCAATGGGTATAGAATAGGCACTGACAGCTTGCTTTTGCATCCCAGTCCTTCCCTGCAGCCTTGTACTGACCCCGTAGGTTTGAGGCTGTCTGTGTCTGGTTCTGGCTCTCTCTGCCCTGCCTTGGGAGTTTCCTTGAAGGCCAGGCTGGAGTCTCACTCAGCGTGGGCCAGCCCCCTCCCCACCCATGCTCAGGGACTAAGCCATCTAATGGGAGCCAGAGTTTCTAGAGAAGACCTTCAGTTTTGCCCTAAGAAGTGTAGTAACAAACCATTCATGGACCATTCACCACTGAGCACTGACAACATACCAGGTTTTGTGCTGGGCATTGCCATGTTGGTGATAGTGACCAGTCCAGTGCCTGCCCTCCAAATGCAAGATGAGCCATCAGAGATCCTTCCCCTTTAGATCCTAGTATGGCTCTTTCCAGCAGTATGTTAGAGGTTCTCACATCTGAGTGATTAAACCCATAGGGAAACTCACAGGGAAACTGAGGCTCAGCTCTTCTTTGGGTCCCACTCTGCTCTGGGGCTCACACTATCAGGAGGTTCTCCTGGCACCCACAAGACACCATTGTCTTCCCTGGGGAGGCCCATCTTGGGGCTGAGTCATTGGGTGGAGCAGCCTGTGGGGCCCCCCCACTCTACCACCACCTCTGCCCAACCCTGAGGCCTAGTGGTTCCCTCCAGGGCCCCTGGCATAGGACAAGGGACAAGCAGCTGGTGGCTGGTGCCAGGGGCCCCTCAAGGGCAGCCCACAGACCGCCCACCCCAACCCTCCTGACTGTGGCCTTTGTTCTCCTCTGGGTGCTTGCTGGGACCTGGGCAGGCAGGAGGCAGTGACTGGCTTCCCCACCTGCTGCCTGTTTTTTCCATTCCAGCCACACCTACTGTGTGTACCCCCCCCACCTCCTCAAACCTATTTCTTTTGGAAAAACTAGTGCCACGGACAAATCCCCACAGTGACGGGGGGAGACACAGAATATGGGGGCATGGTGTAAGCCTTTGTGAGACAGACACAATAGGTGCCCAGGCCAGGGCTGTCCACAGAGAGAATGCACTTGGACTTAGGACTTGGGGGCCACCCTCCCCATTTCCGTTTTCATTTGTCCCTAACGTGAGTACCTTTGACTTCTCCTGGGGTGTGAACACACTGACTGCCCTTTCTCCTCTTCAGAAGCACCGCAAGAGGGAAGAGGGAGGGTACCCGGCCTTTATGGCCTTTATTGATGGAGTCAGTCTCCACTCAGATCCAAACCTCACTTCATCATTGAGGATACTGGGCTGTAGGGGTGATGGGCTACCCCAGAGGTAGGGGCTTCTGGCTCCATTCATGCCCTTCCCCAAGAACCTCGGTCCCAGCATGGCTGAACACACCATGACCAGCCCATAGAACCTGGGTTTTGCTCCCCGGGGCTGGGACTCAGCCAGAGTCAGGCTTGTTCATTCATTCATTCATTCTCCCTGCTTTCAGAGAGGTTGTTTCTCCAGGCCTACAGGATGGTGAGGGGAGGGAGAGGGTGGTTTATTACTATCCCCTCGCCCAGCACAGGGAGGAGTCTCTGTCTGTGGTCCTGTTGGGTGTCAATTGGTCCTGACTTATCTAGCACTCCCAGCTGTGACACTGAGGAGGGCAGGGCACAGCATTGATGGACCCCTACCCCTCCACTCCAGGCTTGTCCTGGGGAGCCAGTGGGTGGGGAGAGGAGACCTAGCCTCACACCTCCTGCTGTGGGGGCCTCAGATGAGGGTCCAGAATGAGTTCTGAGCATGTACTGGGGTTGAGTCCCCTAGGTCAGTGACCATTGGCCTGTGCTCACAAGGGTGAATGAGGTTCAGGCTCTAGTCTGGGAACTGCCTCTGCAAAGCCCTTGAGGCAGAAGTGAGTGTGAACTATTTAAGGCCCAAGGCCCAGAGAAATCCAAGGTCAGAAAGAGGGGCTGGACCTCACACACCCCAAGGAGTTGGGCCTTTAGGGCCAGGGCACTAGAGAGCCATAGTGGGAGTTTGAGCAGGAGAGAGATGTAATGCTGGGAGTGAGGAGCTAGGTGGATCGGGGATGTATTCAAGGGATAAATGAAGACTTGCCTGGGGATGGGAGTGAGTAGACTAAATTTGCCAGTGCTGGGTGTGGGTTAGGGACTTGGATATGTGAGTGGTAGACCCATCTCTGCTTGGGGACAGCTTAGAGTAGGTAAGGGGTGTGAATGGGGGGTAGGAAGCCTAAGCCCTGGGTAGTATCCATTCTCCATCAGACAGATAGAGCTAGGCATGGCCAGGAGGGGCTATGTGGGGTAGCCAACTAGGAAGTGAATGAACCAGCAAGCCACTGACCTTGGACTGATTCCCCACTCAGTCCTGTGTGTGGGGAGAGTACCTGGGCCTTTAGTGCTACCTGCTGAGAATGCTCCACCCCTCCTGGACCAGTGCCCATAGCTACTGACTCAGGGGCCCCCAGGGCCTGTCCTGCTACATTCCCAGGCAGCCTGTGCAAACATCGGGGCGTCTCCTCATCAGCCCCCACAGGGCATTGTTCAGCCCAGTTACCCTGGGATAGGGGAGTGGGGTGGAGACCAGAAGCCCAGTCAGATTCCCTCTGCCCACATGCCCACCTACTTGGCAGCCCGTTGACCTGTGCCTGCTAAAGGATTGGGGAGGATGCCCTGTATACCCTGAGGATGACAAAGACATCTCCTTTCTTCCCAGGGGTCCTCAGATCTCCCTTGAGCTTTCCCTAGGGAACAGAAAATTATCCCATTGTTCAGATAGGGAAAACTGAGGCTCAGACTCCTTGCAGAGGCTCCTTGCCTGAGGCTGGGCTGGGCTCCCATGCCCATATCATCTGCCCTCTCAGACCCCTTCACCTATCATCTGCCCTCTCAGACCCCTTCACCTGCCCCCCGTGCCCTCCAGAAACAGAGGAAGGGTATTCCATTCCGCTGTCAGCTCAGCAGGTGCAAGGCTAGGAGGTTGGAAGCCATTCAGGGGCACCCCTCAGTTTGGGTTTTACTCAAGAGCTCTCGAGGGCTCTCAGGTTAACATGGTCTCACAGCGGGCTGGGGCACAGGGTCTG